ACTCAGCCTTCCTTATAGTCCAACTCTCACAGCCATACATGACTACTGGGAATACCATTGCTTTGACCATGCGGACTTTTGTTGGCAGGGTGATGTCTCTACTTTTTATCATGCTGTTTAGGTTCGCCATCACTTTCCTCCCAAGGAGCATGTCAGGCTGGAGCACGACATTTGTACCATGTGCTGGCACCGAGCTCTGCTTTTAAACATCTACATAAAAACTGTCAGGAGAGCACCTGAACGTTTGGCATGTAAATGACACCCAGCTCTATTTCTCCTTTCTGTCTGAAGCAGGAATTGCACTGGATATTCTGAAAAGGTGCCTTGAGTCATTAATGGTTGGGTGGCAACTAATAAACTGAAGCTGAATCGTAATAAGGTGGGATTTCTGTTGACAGTGCAATCTTATTCCAGTGTAGTCCAACTGGAATTAATATATTGAGATTGGAGTAACTGTGTAGGTTTGCATTATTAGAGATCCTGCAAAGTGTGGCTTTTAGGACAAAGATCTCCAAGAATGTTGGCCCTGTAGGCACTTTTGGGATTTTGGAAATGGTAGTGAGCCACACCACAAAATGGATGCCATGGGTGGTGGGGCCCCAAAAATATGACAGACTGTAGAGACAGTATTCCGCCTATTCTGAATGGTGGTGTATTTGCTCTTAAAATCTGGTTTGCACTTCTGGAGTGCTCCTCAATCCAGCACTGCTTATGGATGTACAAGTAGCAGCCAATGGCATGGAACATCCCCCCCCCCCCAAGCTGTGGTTGCTTTACCAGATGCATCCCTTCCTGGTAAGGAATGATCCTGCTGGTTAGGTAACCTGAAAGACCGAGAAAAAGAGCAAAACCCCCAGCAAAATTGTTAAGTATTTATATAAAACAGATGTTAATAAATCATAAGACAGCTCCCTACAGTCAAAGAAATTTGATCTGTGCCCTACAAAAACACCATTTAGGTGTCAAGTACAAAAAAGGCACAAAATACTGTAAAGGTCTAATTCAGTATATCACTTATAAATGCAAGACCTACAAATTGTACAAAACATGGGGAAATGTATGCTATTAAGAACCAAAATTACGCAGTAAGAGCTATAGGTAAAACCTTTTGTTTAACTATTTCTGGTCAGGTACAATTTATCACCCAAAGTCTGCATTGTGGGTGGGTGGTATGCTTACACACTCCTACTGATCCTGTAACTGATCAGATTACCATGAGGACAGATTGATGTCTACTGTGAATTACATTTTAGGGAGGTGTGATTTATTAAAGACATGTCTGTTTTTATATAGATGCTTTACAAGTTTCCTGTGCTTTTTTAAAAAAATGTTGTTTTTCTTCTCAACTTTTTTGGGTTACCTATTCGTTGGGTTTTTTGGCCTTTTCCCTTAAAAAGTCATGATCCTGCTGCTACAACTAATCTGTTCTTTAGTAATATACAGGCATGACCTCTGCTATGTGTTGTTATCAGGGTTGCCTTCTCAAAATTTCAAAAACATAAGCTGATTCAGAATATGAAAATATTTTTTTCAGAAGAGAACCTCCTTAGTAGTTGTTTTGTTTCTTGGCACACTTCAAACCCTCGGACCTTTAATGACCGTGAATGGTCTAGTGCCAGAGTTTCTGGGGGACTGTCTCTTCCCGTGTGTCCTTATCTAGCTGTTAAGACTTTCTGAAGTATTTTTATGTGTGCTTCTGTTTTCTGAAGCTTCCTGTGAACTGCTTTGAATACCAGAAATACAGTATTTCTTTTAGAATTGAATAAATAAATCAGTACACAGGGTAACTTTGAAAAAGTAGCAGTCAGATAAAGACCTCATGAAGAGTTTCTACAGAACTCTGTAGAATTTCAAATTATTTTCATACTGAGTGTGAATGTTCCTACAGAAATACTTCATGAATTCCTTATGTTCAGGCTAGCTGATCCAGTTAGCTTATTCTCTGTAGACAGAGGTCAAAGTAGGAAAAGGGCACCCAATGACACAGAGGCCATTTTGGAGTGCAAAGGCTAACAGATTTTCAGAACTGCAGGTCCCTCATCCTTGAAGTTTGCCTTTGTAGGAACAAGAATCATAAAGCTCCCAAGGAGAGGCAGGAAAGTAGTACTTTAAAATTCTTCACAGAATATGGTTGTTGTTTACCTGTAAGCTAGTGATCTTTCCTGAGACATGGAGAGTTAATAATCCAAGTCGTATCTTTTGTATAGGGAAATCCTGATTGATTTCAGTCCTAACAGAATCTGAATGCAGCTTGGTCTGTAGAAGTGGTTACTCCAACCAGGTGGAAAGGAGAGAATATTCAGAGGGTGAACAGATGCACAGTTTTCACAAAGCATGTAGTCTACTTTTGTAAGTAAGGATCAATATGCAAATAAAAGTCCCTGGGAGTTTCATTGATGGTATCACAGGTATTTTAACATAACCTGCTGATCTGTTTGACTGGGCAGAACCCTTAAAATTTTGCTTTGACTTGGGAAATTATCAACAATGTTTTGTCTGAGCAGAACCCTATGAATTATCTTGAGGTGAAAGTCAACAGCAGTTGTTTTTCAAACATTACTGCGGGTATAGAAAAATCTCCTTGCAGTGTAGCCAGACTCTGTGGTAAGTAGCTTGCACTGACTAAGGCAGCTGCATGGAGCTGACACTTTCTTGGCAGAAGCGTTACCAGGGGCTTCAGTGCTAATGATGTTCCTTTTGAGTGCCCCCCAGAGGAATGAGTAGGACAAACCTGAACAATTTATGACAACCAAACAGAAAGCAGCTCCATCAGTCCTGCACCCTGGCAGGTGCCTGGAAACTCCAGGCCCACTTTTTGAGTTTCAGGCTGACAGAAAACCCAAGCAGTTTATCTGTTTGATTTAGAAAATTTGTGATTTGCTGTTTGTCAGATGATGTTTGCAAAACACTGTACATTAAAAGAACAAGTTAAAGGTCCCGGTCACACGGGAGGTTTTGGGCCGGTAGAGGGACGGATCAGGGGCGCAGCAAACGGGCGTGATCTCACAGCAACATCTGGGAATCGGCGCACACCCATCCCTGATCCGTCCCTACAGCCTAGTGCTGTGGAGCAAAAAAAAAAAAAAAAAACCAAGTAAAGAGAAGGACTTACCTGAAACGGCGCAGCAAGCACGGCCGTGGGATTGCCGGCACGTCCGTCGTCAGGAGCATTTGAGCCTCCTGGCCGAACTGCTCATGCGCACGCATGCGCAACCGGCTGCCTCGGTCTCCCATCGGTGGCTTCCTCCCCGGCATATGATCGTGCCGGGGAGCAACTGCGTGGCGGCTCAGGGGATCTGCGTGATCTCGCCGCCGCGTGTCTCTTTTGGTGCAGCTCTAAAAAGCCGCACTTTAGCCGTGTTTTTTTCTGCCGTGTGGCAGGGGCCAAAATAAAGCTATACATAGAACTTATAAAAACCCTGAACAAAGATAGTTTAAAAATATGTCAAGAAATCACCAGCCATCCTGATTTACTTTGATGAATCAACCATTTTTCAAGGGTTTATCAAAAGCACCAAAATCCAGGATCCAGCCAATCACAATAAGAAGTTGGTCCTGTAAACTGGGGGCTGCCATGAAGAAAAATAGCTCAGTAGTGTCTGTCTGTGTAATATCAGGTGGGTCCATCAAGACGTTTGTCAGTGGCAGATCTCAATTAGCAAAATGGTATGTATATGGGAGATGGGTCCCCTCAGTTGCCTTAATCCAAGAGGGCTGTAGCTCAGTGGTGGAGCATTTGCTTGACATGCAGATGGCCCCAGGTTTGGTCCCAGGCATTTCTAGTTAAATGGAACTGGTAGCAGAGGATGTGAAAGACCTCGACCCGAGACCAGGGAGAGCTGCTGCCAGTCTGTGTGGACAATACTGACCTTGATGGACTAGGGTTCTGGTTTAGTCTAAGGCAGCTTCATGTGTTCAAGATCATAAAGAGCTTTAAAGGCAAGACCTACAGCACCTTGAATTTAGGTTGGAAGCATATTGGTAACTAGAGGAACTTTCACAAGCCTTGTGTCATATCCTCCCTGCGGCTAATGCCAGAAATCAATCTGCAGGCTCAGATTAGAGATGGGCAGAGGGAGGGGAATGTTGAGAGAGGAGAGATCAAGAGGCTGAAGAATAAAGAAATGTTATTGGATTCTAAAATGAAAGTTTCTGTTTCTGAACCTGAGGACATTTTGAAGTCTACAGGACATTTATGGAATTGGGATGTAGCGGGTAACATTCAGTTAGGTTACAGCACTAGCTTCGTTCTCCCCTTCATGCCCCAACACCCGTTCTGCAACGTTGCTTCTTTTTCGTTTTACTTTTGTAGGAGTCATTATTTAGAAATGAAGTATTCCGCCTGTCTACTGTGGAAACCAAAATCAATAATTGCTTTAGTCAGTATTTTTAAATGAACACTGCAAGATACTTCATTAAGCTATAAATGCCCAGTTACAGATGCTTTTTCAATAATAATTAAAATGGATAATAGCATCTGAAGTGGTTACTTGCCTTGAAGAAGGGGACAAGAGCATGGGCAGATAAATAATTTATTTCCAATGATACCACTAGAGTTTTGTTTTTAATTAGAGATGAAGCAAATTTGTTTCTTCATTTCAGAGTATGAACCATTCCTGCCTTTAACTCTTCTGGCTGATATCCATGGGATCTTGAGAGGATTTGTTGTACCCTGAACTGAAGCCATGTGGATTTAACTAAGACTTTTGGCCCTGATGATTAAGTGTACCAACCTTCTCTGCACCCATCTCCAGGATGTATATTGGAATGTATTCTGCTTTAGAGTGGTTTTGTGTTTGCTAAAACTCCGGGTCTGTTTATGTGATCATTTATCCTGGGATTAAGAAACTCTGAACTCACCTTTGCCTCCAATTTTGCTACATTGTCAAGGTGTGAATTGGAGGTTGAAATAAGCTGAGAGGAAGTGAACAACCCCTGACAAGGTCAGGGGATTTGACTCACTTCTTCCTTTTATATTAGAATCAATGTTCATGTAAACAATGACGGCTTTGGTCACTTCCATGGGGTAAGAGCTCATAGTGTTTTCAGACAGCATAGTGATTTGAGAATGACCCAGGACAGTCAGCAATCCAGAGTACAGCTGCAACACTTGAAATTCCTAGCTTCAAGCTGCTGGTATTGTCCGAGAATAACAGCACTGAGTTAACAATCTCTGAATCGTGATGGTGTAAACACACCATAGGGGATTTTTTTTTTTTACAAACCTAGCAATAATAGAGCTCGTTCCATTTGATGGAAGTAAATGAGTTGGAATATGAGCCTTTTGACAGTCAAGGTTTGACAGTCACTATTTTGACTGCTTCTCTCTTTGTGGACCATTACATTTTCTTACGTGATGGCCATCATATGTGAGGATGCTTGAAAGGATTCTGTATTAAGGCTCAGTGGTTCTGTTGCAGCAATTCGTCAGATATCAATGTGCGGACATCCTCAAGCCATGTTCCCAAGGATCAGTTGAGGTGGTTTACTGATGTTTCATCATTTCAGCAGCTTTTCCGTTTAAATCTTGACATTCACCCTGAAAAGTAGAGGTAGAAATACAAAGGAAGCTCAGCCTCTTCTGTATGGCCCCCTTGCTTTGATTATATTCATGATTACAACGTGTAAACCCATTGTGGATCAACACGTAAGCACATGAGACCAGGTGGCATTGTGGTTAAAGCACTAGACTAGTAGTAAAAGGTAAAGGTTCCTTTGCTCAAAAGCCAGTCGAGTCCGACTCTAGGGTTGCGGTGCTCACCTCTGTTTCAAAGCCGAAGAGCCAGCGCTGTCCGAAGATGTTTCCGTGGTCATGTGGCCGGCATGACTAAACACCAAGGCGCACGGAACGCCGTTACCTTCCCACCAAAGTGGTACCTATGTATCTACTTGCAATTTCTTGCTTTCGAACTGCTAGGTTGGCAGGAGCTGGAACTAGAGATGGGAGCTCACTCCATCATGCGGCACCCAGGTCTCGAACTGCTGAACTATTGACCTTCCACAGTCTGCAGTTCAGCGTCTTAACCACTTGAGCCACCATGGACTAGTAGTAGTGGGTCTAAATCCCCATTCAGCCATGAAGTTCACCTGGTGACTTTGGGCTAGATGCTGTTAGTTTGTTTCTTTAGAAAATATATAGGTGGCCTCTCCAGAAACCTGCTTAAGGCAGTTAACTGGTAATAATGCAATAAAATCATAAAAACTGTGGTCAAAAGAATACCCACTATTGAAACAAGCCGTGGAGCCATGAGCCACAAAATGGCCCCCTGACTGCAAGCAGAGCATAACAGCAATAAAATATAGAACCCTGCAATTAAAAACCTGGGTTAAGTAATGTCTTGGTGCCTAAAGGACAGTAAGGTGGGTGCTAAGTGACCCTCAAGGGAAAGGGCATTCCAAAGGCAAGGTGCCACCACTGAAAAGCTCTTTCTGTGGTCACCACCCACCTCATTTCTGCAGGCAGGGTCATAGAGTACTTGGAAAGAGAATCTTAACTGGTGGTCTGGATAGTATGGGAGAAGGCAGTCTATCAGGTTCCCAAGTGCAAAGGTTTTTTTAATCATCATGGGTAAGAATTATCACTTTGAATTGTGCCTGAAAGCAAATGGAAAGCCAGTGCAGATTTCAGTGTAAGGGTGATAAGTTCCCTGTATCTATCTCCAAACACTATCCAGTCACAGAGTCATGAGAATAAAGGGAAATGGGGAAGAACCCTGTAGAGTGCTAAAAGTGGAAGGGGTTTTATAGGTCATTTAATCCAACCTCCTGATCAAATGTATGATTATCTGAGCTCCTTAGAGGAACAGCAGGATACAAACATAAGATATGGATACTGTAAGAAAAATGATTTGCTATACTCTGTGTGTAAATTGTGTCCCATCTAGTCAAACTGGGTTACTGTACATATATGGATCCTATCAAGGCTCAATAAACTTTAAAAGGCAAAAGCCAGGGGATGATATCAAGAAAACATGGCTGGTAGGATGCATTCTGGCTGGCAGGTCACAAATTGTGCAGGATTGGCTCTGGGAATTGTTGTCTGCTTCATGCAGAAATTACACTAAGGAGAACAGATGTTTTTAGGAAGCATAACACAGCATCTGGTTTTTTATATCTAAAAAGAGCTCCTGATTAATTTTAGGATTTTTTTCTTCTTCTCACATTTTTTTACAGCACCAAGGAAAGATTGGAGTTAAATTTAATGTTGGAACAGATGATATCGCAATTGAAGAGGTCAACGCGATCATTAACGATGGGAAATACCATGTAGTACGTTTTACAAGAAGTGGCGGCAATGCCACATTACAGGTGGACAGCTGGCCAGTTATAGAACGCTACCCAGCAGGTAAGGTCATAAATAAAGGCTGTTTGATTGATGGAGATAAGGATGGACAGCAGTGTCGTGCTTGCCTTATATGTGCACACAGGATCTTGACTTCTTCCAGTGTTCTTTTCCAGTGTGAAAAATCATCAGTATGTTGTAGCCTACGATAATGGCAATAATTCTTAGGTGAACCAAAAAAGACACAGACTGTCTTTACAAAATTTAACACATTAATGAAATTGAAGACGTAGACGTCAAGTCACTAAGCTAATATTTTTTCCTTAAATTATTAGCGTATTGGTATACATAGAAAAATAAAGGCTTTGACAAAAGCAGCACTATGTGACAAAACAAAACAAAAATTCCAGAACTGGATGTTCAGAACAATGGTATTAAGGAAAACATTGTCTGTGTTTATTTTATAACAAACCTTTTATAGCTTGTGGAGATGGGGAAATAACAAAATGTATTAAAGCAGTCACAGAAGCCAAGAAATGCTGCCTTGGAAGAAAAATGGGATTGATTTTAAGAGCATTTGCTTAGGCACAATAGCTGTGGTCCGCAATCCACTTCCTTTAGAGCTTTCTCATAAAAACCAGCTTAACTTCCCTGTTAATTTCCCAAATGAATAAAATTCTTGTTCTCATGAGATCAACTATCCTTTCATTTTAATGGGTTTTGCCCAGTATGGTCAATGGTCCCATCTATGCAGATAGTCCTTTGGGCCTGTGGGAGATGACTGAAGATAAAGCTGAAAGTGGAATTTTATGAAAGTGGTGTGTATGTTCTAGTGAAATAACCAGTGCCTAGATTCTTAGGATGTTTGTCCAGGGGCTGAAACAATCCAGTCCTCTCCCATACAGGCATGATGTCTAATACAGCAGTAAGTATGCAGCAACTGCATTACAATAGCCTTGAGGTTATCAGTAAAATTCTATTTCAAGATCTTGCCAAAGTTTTTTGTTTCCCCAAATACAACTGGAAGTCCAAGAATTGTCTCTAGCATCCTCTGCAACACCGCAAGAGGTCCAGGTGTACCCCTCTCCTACTGTGTACTGGTTTTCTTCAGTTGTGTCTTTATTTCTTCATGGCAATAAGATGTTGGCCAGGTATTTGAACTAAGCATAGAAGTGTGCATACACACAAAAGCTTATACCCAGAATTAAACTTTGTTGGTCTTAAAATTCCCACTGGACTCAAACTTTGTTTTATTTCTTCAGACCAACACAGCTACCCACCTGAATCTAAGCATAGGCTTGTTACTTTCTCATGACTAAAATATATGGCAAAAAATCACCTTCTGGATATCATTTGATTAATACCAGCAAAGAATCACCAGATGCCATCAGTCAGAATTCGATCACATCAATGCTACTTGGATCTTATTCATTTGGTTGGACTCTTAATCATTGGTAGGGATAGGCGGGGACACTGGCAAACTGAACTAATCAGAAAATACCCCATTTTCCTTTGAGCCAAATTCCAGAATTTGAAAACACTCTCAGCAACATATTAGAGGCATGGTAACGTTTCCTGTATGCCTGTCCATAAGCCCCCAAATCCTCTTTGAGTCCCTGAATCCTGCCCTAATGATCCTTCTCACTGGCCTGATGGTAGTAACACTGGCAGCCCAATCAAGGGAGATCTCATTGGAGCCTCCTTGAAACCCTGTCTTCTCTCCCACTAAAACCACTGACCTGTTAGTGTCCTAAATGCCCAGATCCCAGGGAAATGCACTTTTTCTATGGGTCCGGCATCTGAATTGTCTTCTGGCTTAGAGTATGACTCAGTTAGAGAACTCTCAAAGAAATAGCACCTGGCTCAGATTATGGTCAGACGTCACAAAATATATTCCAAAATACTGCTAACACAAATTATCCACATAATACTGTTGGACATAGATTCACATATTATACCTGCCCACTCACACACATACTTCTGTGACCATTTCATGCATCTGAGAAATGGCACCCTAGTTCACAAAAGCGTGGATCTAACCCTCTATGAACAACAACACATAATGACCCTCGGCCAGCTGTGAATGGGTAGGGAAAAGGACACCCCAAAGTCTCCAGAAGAGGCTATTTGTGTTGTGGCTGGTTGGATTATCACCCCAAGCCTCTATAATGGAGTGCTTTGCAGTTCTTGTCTTATTCATAAAGCCTTATGAGTGTTACTGTTGTTTCTATTTTACATATGGAGAAAACTCATTGGGGTAGGCAATCTGCCTAGGTCAACCTGTAAATTCATGGTTAAGCAGCACTTTACCATGGCTTTCCAACACTTTGGATCTTCCTTTTCCTTGTTAATTATTCTGCAACCCTCATCGAGAACAGGAGCCTCTTGTGCCTATGAGAAACCTTCAAGGGGTTGTATCCAGAGAGGTGGGAGCGATTATTTTTTTAAGCAGTTCAGAACTTCATCTGTCACGTTAGTTGCGGATGTTATTTGATGCAGCCCTGGAGCCCAACTTCTGGTTCTGGGTATTGGCAAATGGCATTTTAATCCTGTTTCTTTGAAGGTCAGGGTATCCATGCAAGGAAGAATCAGACACTCCAAACTAATTCAGGTAGCTATCCCTAGGATGACATATGATGCAAGGGGATGTCTCTATACCAGTTTGGTGTAGAGAGCCAGTTTGGTGTAGTGGTTAAGTACGTGGACTCTAATCTGGGAGAACCGGGTTTGATTCCCCACTCCTCCACTTGCACCTGGCTGGATGACCTTGGGCAAGCCATAGTTCTGTCAGAGCTGTTCTTGAAAAAGAGCAGTTTCTGTCAAGAACTCTCTCAACCCCACCTACCTCACAGGGTATCTGTTGTGGGGAGGGGAAGGGAAAGGAGTTTGTAAGCCACTCTGAGACACCTTTGGGTAGTAAAGGGCGGGGTATAAATCCAATCTCTTCTTCTCATCTTCTCTGGAACCTCCAGTACACAGCCTGGGACTCCTGGTCCACTGTTCCAGGTGACATTACTCTGAGGGTGGGGAAATAGGCCAGTGCACAGGTTTGCAGGTCTCTGGTGCACTAAATGAAAACATTCCATTCTTAGAAACTTGTCTGCTAAAACAGACTGATCGATGTGATCAACTAGAATTTGGATAACATATATATTTGTTTATTATCACAATTGTACATTCACAGGATCCACCTGGATTTCCTACAGTTCCACATATGGTTAAATTCTTGTGCAGAGAGAGAAAAATCTGGAAACTTTTCATAAACTGTTTTTAAAAAGAGTTTGCAGACTTTCTGTTGGTTTTTAACAATCCCCATTGGGGCTCCAAGGAGGCTTAATTAAAGCCAGGGTTTCAGCCATAACTCAGAATCCCCCTGTGCATGTTATTGTTTGGCTCAGGCCAATCACTCTTGGTCTTTAATTTTCTTTGAGGTTTTATCAGTATCATCATCTTGCCTTTGTTCACGGCAGAAGAGGAAAAGCTGCTGCTGCTCTCTGTTCAATGCCATCTTCCTACTCTCCTGGTTTTATAGCCATTTATCTTGCTTGGAACCAAAGGCTTCCGATACATTGTCCTCAGTTCCGTATTCTCCTTCGCCTCTATTCACACACAAACACAACAGTACATCACTGACTATTTGTACCTGTGTGGGCATCTGTAGACAACCACTAGTTTGTATTACATTATTTGCACCACATCTTTCTCATAGCTTTGCAAAAGGATGAAAAGAGTAGGGGGCACGATGTCACGCTCCACTGTCTGGTCGTCCTGCTGCTTCCTCATTTGCCTGCAGTCTCTCTAGGCCTTTCACTTATTATCCCGTCACAACCTAATGGGTTTGACTAGCATTTTTCTCCCATGAACCATGCGATCTGACACTTTTACAATTAATCCCTTCTTCTTAATCCACGTTGCTGCTATGAAAGAATAGCAGCAGCACATTATATCCAGATCTGTCAGGTTCCACAGATGCTGCATAGGGTCAAGGAATCACCGACAATACTGTCTGTTGTGAGGGGCAGAGATCTCCTCCCTCTCCCCAAATACGAGAAGTCGAGGGCATCCAATGAAGCTGATTCAGGGCAGACTAAAGGAAATACTTCTTTACTTCAACAAGTGATTAAAATGTGGAATTTGCTGCCAGAGGATGTAGTGATGGCCACAAGCACAGCTTTAAAAGGGGAACAGACAGATTCAAGAATTTCAGGGCTATCAGCAGCTACTAGCCATAGTAGCTACAGGGAATGTCCACATTCATAGGCAGTAAACCTCTGAATACCAGTGCCAGGAGGCAACATCAGGGGAAGGTCTGAGCCTCTGTACACTGCTATTGGCCCTCCAGAGAAACTGCTTAGCCACTGTGTGAGAAAGGATGCTGGACTAGATGGACAAGTGTTCTTATCCAGGAGGGCTCTTCTTATGTTCTTACTATAATCGGTCTGTTGTAGTTTCACCAGTGTTCCCTGTCCAACTCCACCATACTGCAGAGCAGCAGTGAAATATTGGCAGTGTGTGGATCCTTGGCCCTGTGTGCTTTGGCACAGATTCCAACAGTCTTTTAACAAATCATTAACATGGTGATAGTCTTGTCACTTGGGAACTTTCTTCCTAATAGAAACTGTTGATCTTACAAGAGGAAGAGACTTTGCTAGTGGTGAATCACACTGCAATTTAAACTTCACATTACTAGATTGTTTTCTGATTTCCTTTCAACATCTGTGCCCCATTTTTGTTATTCAAGACCAATTCTACTTCTGCTTCCCTTCTAGAGGTAGTTAGGAAACATTTCCTGGAGCTGTCTACCTTTTGTTTCCTAAGAAACTTTCCACTTACATTGGCCTGGGAAAAGAAATGACTTCTCAAAGCAAGGGCTAAACTGAAAAAAAGATAGTGGCAACTGGACAGACTTTCAGCCAAAGTCAAAAAGAGATGGAGTTAATTGAACCCCCATATAATGAACCCATAAGCAAGTTTACCTTCAGTGAAATTCAAAGTAATTGCTGAATATTCATGTACAAGTTGAATTCAAAGGTGCTCTTCCAAATGCAGAAAGTGCATTCATA